TTTATAAAATCCCAATTTATTTTTTCTTTTGTTGCTCATGCTTTTGGTGTAATATCTAAGAATCTAGGCAAATACAAGCTCTTGAAGATTTATCCTTATTTTTTTGTAAATATTTTGTAGTTTTAACTCTTATGTTTGGGTCTTTCATCCATTTTGAGTTAATTTTTGTGTATGGTTATAAGGTCAGGGTCCAATGTCAAGGTCAGGGTCCAACGTCATTAAGTTTTCTTAGCACCATTTGTTGAAAAAGAATGTCCTTTCCTCACTGACTGGTCTTAGTATCCTTGTTGAAAATCATTTGATCATGTATGAGAGAATTTATTTATGGACATTATTCTATTCCAGTAGTCTGTAAGTCTGTCTTTATGCCATACTGTTTTGATTACTTTAGTTTTATAGTAAGCTTTGAAATCAGGATATAGGAGTCCTCCAACTTGGTTCTTTTTCAAGGTGGTTTTGGCTATTTAAGGTCCCTTGAAATTCCATATGAGTTTTAGAATGAGTTTTTCTTCCTTTTTTTAAATCTTTATTATTTTTTAAATGTTTATCCACTTATTTTGAGAGAGACAGAGAGAAAGAGAGTGAGAGAGAGACATGGGAGGGGCGGGGGGTGGGGACAGAGAGAATCCCAAGCAGGCCCCACACTGTCAGCACAGAGTCCAATGTGGAGCTTGAACCTACAAACCATGAGATCATGACCTGAGCCAAAACCAAGAGTCAGACGTTTAACTGACTGAGCCACCCAGCCACCCCTAGGATGGGTTTTTCTATTTATGCAAAAAAATAAATAAATAAATAAAAATAATGTTATTGGGATTTTGTGGAGATTGTATTAAATCTGTAGATTGCTTTGGGTGGATTGTCATTTTAACAATATTGCTTCCAATTCATGAACATGGTATGTCTTTCCATGTACTTATATCTTCTCTAACTTCTTTTCAGTAAATTCTTTGTAAATGGAATTATTTTCTTAATTTCCTTTTTGGATGTAGGTAACTTTTTAATATCAAGTTTTATAGTTGAAATGACTGTATGCAATTACTAATGAAGACTTTTTAATGGTGATCCCTTATAATTCTTGAATAGTCTCTATTGGTAAAAAACTGTGTCACCCAATAAGAGTTAAAAATTTTTAGACAATTTTTGTAACCATTTAAAATTGCAGGAGTTGAGATTAACATTTAATAGTTCTTTTTTTCATGACAAACACAAAGTTAATATTTCTTAGGATAAAGAAATAGATTTAGAAATCAATAAAATGTGGGGTGCCTAGGTGGCTCAGTCATTTATGCATCTGACTTCAGCTCAGGTCATGATCTCACAGGTTTGTGAGTTCAAGCCCCAAGTCAGGCTCTGTGTTAACAACTCAGAGCCTGGAGCCTGCTTCGGATTCTGTGCCTCCTTCTCTCTCTGCCCCTCCCCTGCTTTCACTCTCTCTCTCTCTCAAAACTAAATAAAAAGAAAAAGAAAAAGAAACAAATCAATAAAATGTTTCATATCAAATATTTCAAAGTAATGATGAAAGTCTGTGTTGTAGGATATGCATACGTTTTTTGACTGATCACCTTATATCTAGCTTGGATACTACTACAGGCATACATCAGTTACCAGTGGACAGAAATATCTGATATATGTGAAGGCAGAGATTTGGAGCTGTCATCTGTAGCCTTCCAGGATCTCCCTTCCCCCTTTCCTCCAAGCTGTCAGCACCTTTGTCTTGTGCTGTTTTCTTGGACATCTAAAACAAACTCTTCTGGGAGCTCCATGGGACAGTGTATGCTCTGCACATAGCTAATAAATCTATGTCCAGGGGCTTGAGCAACTCGTTGGCTTTGCTCAGTGTCTTACAGAGGAGCAGTGGTTGTGGAATGTGACTCATAAATCACTTTATCCAGGGGAGGAAGATGGACATGAGGAGTACCAAACAAGGTTGCTCACAACCTTGAGTCACCATCCTGGGAGCCCCAGCCATCCTTGGCTGTGCCTGGTTGCTTTGAAGGCTGAAGAGGTCCACTTTCATTTGACCCGTTGAACTCCATTGTCTTCCCCTAGTGAGAAGCTCTGGTCTAGTGATTGGCTTGTTTGGAAAGGAGAAAAGAAAGATAATGTGTAATTTAGGAAGAAACAATAAAAATAGGTGCATCCTGATGGCTGTAATTTTTGAAATACGGTCTTATTCACTGACTGATGATAGCATTCCTAATCTAAGGTGTGTCAGTATAGGATTCAGCATTGGATATTAGATGAATAGCTTTGGTGTAATGTGTGAATGGCTTGAAATGAAGTTGGAAACATGGATTATTTTTCTACTTCTGCCATTAGCTAACCGTGATCACTTTTACTGTGTTTTGATTTCCACGTTGCTTTGCTCATGCATTTCTCTCTGTGCTTCGCATTGTTGCTTCTCATTTATGTATTTCTAATTATAGAATTGAAGTTACTTCAAATGCCATTTTCTCCACTTGAGTCTCTTCTAATTCCTCCTACCAGATAATATCTCCTTCTTTTGAGAGGAAACATTTAATACTATAATTTTCTTTTGACATGTATCATATTCTTTGGTGGACTATGGTTTATGTCTATGTATATCTTACTTCGTCTTCCTTGTTTACAAGGTCTTCTTTGTATATCTTGCCTGTTTTAGAGTGGTGAACTAATTGTAGTTTATCTGATTTGAGGGCTCAGCAAAATAAATTCTTAAGCAAAAAATTTTTTGTCTACCATAATTAGCCAGCACATATAAACTATTTTGCTTAACCCTCTTTCAGGAAGAAATTTGAGAAGTCTGGACTAAAAACGGAAAAGCTGACTTCACTTTCACAGATGGCACACCTGTAATACATGAAAAAACAGGTTTCAAGTGTGTATTCAATTCTGAAAAAATGTTCCTACCTTCCATTGCATCATTCAGCAGAGAATCTGTGCTGCAAAGTTTGCAGTCAGGTTCATGGAATGATGTAATGGAGGAATTGATTGTAACTCAGTTTTCTTCTTGATTGTGCCATTAATAACCATCACCAGTTTATTGGTTATTTGGAATATATTAATCCCAAGCATGGCGACTTAGTTCATTTTAATACAGCCGTGTGACTAGATTGTGGAAACTTACAAAGAGTAAGTTTCTTTAGATCAAGGCCTTTTTTAAATGAAGCGTTTTGAGAATAAAGTGTTTATGACGATCCTTAATAAATAAGGATAGATAAATAATACGTAAAGGGTTTCATAAAGATCCTCATTGGCTCACTGATATGACAAATTATCTGAACATGTTGGACTAGAAGCTTCAGTGGGAAGATACGCTCATTTATTTAGAGACGTGCAGGCCTTCCCATTGAAGTGCAACAGAACTGAGTCGGCACTTGGAGGCGATGCTTATTTCCCTTGCAGAACTCCCCTGGTAGCAGCAGAAGTGCTGATATTTCATATGGGGAGAAAGCAAGATACAGCTTCAGAAAAGAAATACAGATTTTGATGTTTGTGAATACTTGGAGTTTCTATGGTTGGAAATGCAAACCTGAGGATGTGACTGAACGCCAGAGAAATGCCCTATCAGTGTGGTTCAGTTTCAGGGCACCTGAGGTTGCTGGAAGCAAACTGTTCACCAGGTAGGGCAGTGCTACTTGATGAGGGTTTGTCTACCAGAGCTGCCTGAAACTCTCATCAGTCCTTGTTGAGATGAGTTCAGAAGTCGAGAGCAAACATGTAAAAACTTTATGGTATGTTGACAGAGTCTGTTTGTATCTACTGAATTTAGTAATAAACCATTGGGCTTTTGTATTATGTGTATCTTTTATTTCATTTTCTAGTAATTCATTCTTATTGTATTTTATAGGTTATTTGTCTGAAACTTAGGGAACACACAAAACAAAACAGTTACTTCATCATAGATAGTTTGGAACTCATTGAGTTACAATCTCTGAGAAGGGTGAGGCAACTGGAAATGAATATATGAGTCTGAGGATTATCTAGAAATTTATGGCCATGTGACTGGCCATATTCTAGCAATATTTAGGTGCACCTGACTCTGTGAAATGCACATTCTGTTTGATAGGTAAAATTTAAAAATAAGGTGCTATTTTAGAAAAATTAGTAAGGGACAGTACTCCCTTACTGTTATTAATTAAAATACTCATGCTTCCCATCTGAGGATTTTTGATCATGAGCCCAGTAGTACAAAATTTGGCCATCCTTACTGTGGGACAGTGCCCTCCATCTAGGAGATCCTAAAAATATTTATTAAATTCAGTTGATTTCTCTTAAGACTTAGCAGAAAGTAGATAGTTCACTAAATAAAGTCCAGAAAATTAAAGTAACTTTGAAAGGTAAAATTTGAAAGCTTATTAGCTGTATATCACCTCTACCAGCCTTGCTCTGCTTTGTTAAATCTTCGCCAGTCAGAACTTTGAGAATATATTATTGAGGTACCACTATGAACGTAGATGGTTTATGAGATTCTAAGTGTGTTGTTGTTTTAATCAGTTGAGATTTTTAGTAAGCTAAATCCTTAGTTTTAAAGTTCAGATTTTTAGTACGTTCCTTGATGTAAATCCTGTAAGTGGTTATTTATAACTCTATACTAATTGTACTACAAATACTTAGAGAAATTACCCTGCAAAATCTATTTTCCAAGTCAATATTCTAGAGTATCTTCCTTACACTGCAACACTATACTTCAACAAATTTTAAAAATTGGCCAATATAAGAAGAAAATAATCAGCCATATGGAAATAATAGCATTGTGTCATATTGTCAACTTTCATGTTAGATTTGCAAAGTGGAAATATAATTATGAATAACAAAATAAACACATGTACTGTATAGCAGAGTATGCCATGATATGCTTTTGACACAATGGAAACAATTGCTAATAAAATAAGGTGTTTTATTTGGAAGAGAAAATTTGTTCTTGGCAGGGGCTTTCCAATTTTGCCAGTTTTAAAAGTGGCTATGTTGGTGGGTGAGATAGTTATGGAAAAAATATATACAATCTTTATGCTTAGAACACATGCATTGTCAAAGTTTCTTCATGCAAATTACTAACTGTCAGATTACTAAAGCTGTCTCATTCTGGGGAGGAGGCAGTAGAATATTTTCTTTACTTAGTTTATCACTTCCATTAGGCAATTTAAGAAATTTACATTCTGAATTTCATTTTAACTTCAAACACGGTTCTGTCTTTATTGATTCTGCCATTATTGTAATAAAATATATTTAATATAATAATATAAATAAATATCATATACATAAGTGTATAAAAATACGTCTGTAGGAAATTTACCTTGTGTTGAGTTTTGTACTATATTTCATTTAAGTGCTGTGCTATATTTTTCATGTGTTCTGTTTTCCAGCTAGGCATACTGACAAAATCTTTTAAGAGTGTGCTCCATTCTGTTTTCTTCTTTCTTTCCTCCAGAGATTGTAGCACTGTGTTCTATGTATAGTGAGCACTTGCTGTTGACAGACTGAAAAAGATCTGAGGATCTACATTATAATCTTTTGATAAGCAGAATTAGAGAATAATATTGGCCAGTTTTAAAACATCTCAGTATAAGCATACTATTGTGTTTTATATTTTTTCAGGAAGATTCTTTGGCAACAGATGATTTCCTTGTGGACTACTTTAATGAATTCCTAAGCCTTCCAGTGAGTATATTCTTATGTTCTATGGAATATATTATCAAAGCAAAATATTGTAATCACTGGATTATTTTATAAGGTAGCTTTATGAAGGATAATCTCTTTCAGAATTATTAATGAAAAGTAAAGTTTGTATCTTTTTATGGAGTTAATCATTTGGGTTTGAATCATATTTGGAAATTACTGAAGAAAGCTGCATCAGTTGTACAACAATAAGAGTGAATGAATGAATGAATGAATGAATAAGAAAGCTGGAATTTTTAAAACAATTTTTAAATGTGTATCCATTTTTGAGAGACAGAGAGAGACAGATCATGAGCTGGGGAGGGGCAGAGAGAGAGGGAGACATAGAATCTGAAGCAGGCTTCAGGCTCTGAGCTGTCAGCACAGAGCCTGATGTGGGGCTCGAATTCACAGACTGTGAGAACATGACCTGAGCTAAAGTCGGATGCTTAACCAACTGAGCCACACAGGCACCCTGAAAGCTGGAATTTTTCTAGCCATTAAAAGTATTTTGTACAAAAAATAATAATAAAAATACTAAATGTGGATAAACTAGAAAAGAAGTATTCTGTACAAAATCTGATGCTATTGTATTTGGCACTGTTTCAGGCTTTGAACAGAGGTGATAAAGACAAAATATCAAAAAAAAACTGTATTTCTTGACTCTAGGCAATTATTGTCATCCTTTTGTACAGATATTAAAGTGGAATTTGTGTCTACGTTAACTAGAATTTTATATTAATAGTAAATAAGACATAGGTGGATGCCAAATAATAGAATTTTAGTCTTTCAGAGTATTGACTGATATACTTAAGTATCAAGGGGGTTGGGGAAAGTGAGATGGGAATGCATAAAAACACTTAACAGTGCTTGGCAAATAAAGTTAATCAGGAATTTCAAATAAAAGAAAGATGAGAAAGGGTTTTCATTATTATACAAATGCAAAAACTTTTTTCATTAACATATTTACCAGGGAAATTTTGGAATATAAAAATGTCACAAGTAATTTTAGAGGGTGTGGGCCATAATATGTTACTTTTAATTAAAATTTTAAAACTTATTTTAAATTTAAATTTTAGTGCGATTTTGGCTTCAGGAGTGGAATTCAGTGATTCTTCACTTACCTACAACACCCAGTGCTCGTCACAACAAGCGCCCTTCTTAGTACCAGATCCCGTCTAGTCCATCTCCCACCCACCTCCCTCTGACAAACCATAGTTTGTTCTTTATCATTAAGAGTCTCTTGCGGTTTATTTCCCTCTCTTCTCCCCTCTCCCTTCCACATATTCATCTATTTTGTTTCTTAAATTCCACATATGTATGAAATCATATGATATTTGTCTTTCTCTGATTGACTTACTTTGCTTAGCATAATACATTTTAGCTCCATCCACATCATTTTAAATAGCAAGATTACATTCTTTTTTTGATGGCTGAGTAATATTCCATTTTGTGTGTGCGTGTGTGTGTGTGTGTGTGTGTGTGTGTGTGTGTGTGTGTACTTATATATTTGTATGTCATATCTTCTTTATCCATTCGTCAGTCAATGGACATTTGGGCTCTCTCCAGAGTTTGGCTATTGTTGATAATGCTGCTATAAACATTGGGTACACGTACTCCTTCAAATCTGTATTTTTGTATCCTTTGGGTAAATACTTAGTAGTGCAATTGCTGGGTAGTTCTGTTTTTAGTTTCTTGAACCTCCAGAGTGGCTGCACACATTTGCCTTTGCACCAACAGTGCAGAAGGATTCCCCTTTCTCTGCATCATCGCCAACACCTGTTGTTTCTCGTGTTGTTAATTTTAGCCATCCTGACAGGTGTGAGATCGTATCTCATTGTGGTTTTTATTCATATTTCCCTGATAATGAGTGATTTTGAGCATCTTTTTATGTGTCTGTTAGCTATCTGGATGTATTCTTTCAAAAAGTATCTATTCATGTCTTCTGCCCATTTCTTAATTGGATTTTTTGGTGTTGAGTTTGATAAGTTCTTTATAGATTTTGGATACTAACCCTTTATCAGATATATTGTCTGCAAGTATCTTCTCCCATTCTGTAGGCTGCCTTTTTGTTTTGTTGATTGTTGTTTTTTGTTTTTTGTTTTTCGTTTTTTGCTGTGCAGAAGCTTTTTATCTTGATGAGGTCCCAATAGTTCATGTTTACTTTTGTTTCCCTTGCCTTTGACAATGTGTCTAATAAGAAGTTGCTCCAGCCAAGGTCAAAGATGTTGTTCTCCTCTAGGATTTTTATGGTTTCCTGTCTCACATTTAGGTCTTTCATTCATTTTGAATTTACTTTTGTGTATGGTGTAAGAAAGTGGTCCAGTTTCATTCTTCTGCATGTCACTGTCCAGTTTTCCCATTTTTCTTTGTTGAAGAGACTGTCTTTTTCCATTGGATGTTCTTTTCTACTTTGTTGAAGGTAAGTTTAGCATATAGTTGTGGGTCCATTTCTGGGTTTTCTATTCTATTCCACCGAACTATGTGTCTCTTTTTGTGCCAGTACCATACTGTCTTGATGACTACAGCTTTGTAATATAGCTTGAAATCTGGAATCATGATGTCTCTAATTTTGTTTTTCTTTTTCAGAATAGCTTTCGCTATTCAGGTCTTTTTGGTTCCATACAAATTTTAGGCTTGTTTGTTCTAGCTCTATGAAAAATGTTGGTGGTATTTTGATAGGGATTGCATTAAATGTGCAGATTGTTTTGGGTAGTATAGACATTTTAACAATGTTCTTCTAATCCACGAGTGTGGAATGCTTTTCCATTTCTTTGTGTCCTCTTCAATTTCTTTAATAAGTGTTCTATAGTTTTCAGAGTGTAGATCTTTTATCACTTTGGTTAGGTTTATTCCTAGGTATCTTATTGTTTTTAGTGCAATTGCAAATAGGATTGATTCCTTGATTTCTCTTTCTGCTGCTTTATTTGTGGTGTATAGAAGTGCAACAGATTTCTGCATGTTGATTTTGTATCTGGCGACTTTGCTGATTTCATGTATTCTAGAAATTTTTTGGTGGGGTCTTTTGGGTTTTCTACATAGAGTATCATGTTGTCTGCAAATAGTGAAAATTTGACTTCCTCCTTGCCACTTTGGGTGCCTTTTCTTTCTTTTTGTTGTCTGATTGCCGAGGCTAAGACTTTGAGTACTCTGTTAAATAGTAATGGTGAGAGTGGGAGTGGGCCATGATATGTTGAATCTCTTAAAGCCTAGCCACTGAAGATGTCTTTTGAAGAGACAGTACTAGATGCACCCTCTTGCCTAGATTAGTTTTTGCATGTATGTATGTATCTATGCATGCATGTTTGTTGTTTTGTCTTATTTTCCTTTTTCGAAAATAATTTGTGGTCTCTCCCCCATTTGGCACAGCCAGGCCTCTGGATCCATTATGGGGGTTAGGCTGAGACACCAATCACCTCTTCGCTTTCCAGCAACAGGCCCGAGTGATGGTACAGGATACCTCATGGGTTCTTGTTTGGTCTGATTTTCTTTTTCTCTTTCTTTCTTTTTTTTTTAAATATTCATTTATTTGAGAGAGAGAGAGACAGACAGACAGACAGAGTGTGAGCAGGGGAGGGGCAGAGAGAGAGGGAGACGCAGAATCTGAAGCAGGCTCCGGGCTCTGAGCTGGCAGCAGAACCTGACATGAGACTGAAAGTCATGAACTGCAAGATCATGATCTGAGCTGAAGTCGGACACTTAACAAACTGAGCCACTCAGGTGCCCCTCTTTTTTTATTTTTAAAGTTTATTTCTTTTGAGGTAGTGTGTCCCTGTGTGCGTGAGTGGGGGAAGGGCAGAGCGAGAGAGGGGGAGAGAGAATCCCAAGCAGGCTCCACGCTGTCAGCACAGAGCATGATGCAGGGCTCAAACTCATGAACTGTGAGATCATGACCTGAGCTGAAATCAAGAGCCCAACGCTTAACCAACTGAGCCAGCCAGGTGCCCCTGGTCTGATTTTGCAACTTTTTCATCATCCAGTTGTGTATTATAAAAAACCCAGCAGCATCACAAAATTGTCAGAATTTTGCTCTTCTTGAGTATATTGTCTTTCCTCTAGGCTCTGCATTCTCCATTTTTCCTCTAATTTTTGTGACATTTTAAAAAGAAAAATGTCTATATTGGGTCTGATTTCAATTTCTCAAGATTTACATGTCATCATCTCAAGTTTTGTGATTATCTTGACTTTTACTTGCTCTAGAACATAAATTCCCCTACCTTTCTTTTTTTTTTAATCTATTTTAAATTATAGAAGTGATATAACAATACTTTAGAGAAAATTTATCTTAAATGTAAGAAAAATTGAGCCATAGTCCTGCCATCCAGTCAGAATTGATGTTACCATTTTTGTGTGTTTTGTGTGTTTCAGGCTTCAGGTGAGATGGCAGAGTGTCTCTGTGGTCATGTGTTCGTCCCACCCAAGCAGACTCCTGCAGTTTGACCCTTTCAAATATCCCATGTGGCCGAGCTCGGCCACTTCTCCTGTTTTCTGTCTCTCCAAATCCTTCTCTTTTACATTCTCTCATTCTGTGTCCCCCCCACCCTATGAAAATCTCTCTCATTCCTTTGCAGCTACATATGGTACAATGTAATCTACCTATTAACTACCCATGCTTCACGCCACAAGATAGGAGAAGGGGAAATATGGTAATAGGTTTCCAAAAAGAATTTGGGGACATGGAGGAGAAAGAATGATGAATTCTCAAACCAAATTCCAGGCAAAATTCTAGAACAGCTTCGTAATGTTTGGTTTATTAGCACTTAGCTAAGAGTTAGAAGCCAGCATGGGTTTATTGAGAATAAATGTGTCAAACTGAGCTCTCTTTTTTTGGAGCATTATGGACTGGCATTTTAGGGAGCCATAAATTTAATGTATTATAGTTTCAGTAAAGCATAATCATAGCAATAAAGTAATAATAATAATACAGATAAATGGAACCATGTTACTTCCTGCCCTCAAAGCCCTCAAAGGTGGCTTCTTATTACACTAAGAATAAAATCCAG